AAGATTATGTCTTGGGATCCGTGGGCTTTACCTTTCACAGTGCTGTCTCCCTCTCCTAGTATTCCCTTCCTGGCCTCTCTCAGTGAAGACTGCTCACTTGCTGTGCTGGACTCAAACCTTTCTGAGGTGTAAGTATGAAGTAAAATCCTGTGACTGGGAATCAGGCAGGGGGAGCAGCAGGCAGGCAAATCTTTTTTCTTTTCAGAAAAATGTGTTGTCTCTTTGGAGAGAATTCTCCGTCTGTACCTGAAGGGCCTGGGTGATGGAAGCAGGCAGACAGTTGACTGAGACCAGCACTCTGTTCCTGGGGCTGATTCACAACCAGCTGTGTCCCTGGTAGAGGAGGAATATGGGGGGAATTTCTAAGTCTAGCATTCCAGCCCTCCCACAAGGGGACAGTCTGCCCTTTCCACATAAGAGCTGCATATGTGAAATGCAACCTGCCATGGGGTAAAAGGCACCAGAAGGAAGAACCTGAATTGTACTCCCCTCTTTGCCATGGTTTGCTGCCTGATGCTGGCCCGTAGCACTACCTCGCTCCATCCACCGTTTCTTCCTCTGTGAAAATAGAGGACCAGATCAGATGATTGCTGCCATCCCCTGCGGATAGCTACATTGCTACACAGATGGTGAAATGTGTGTAACACACACAAAAAATGTGCCGTGGATGTGCTGGGTTCTTTCTTTTCCAGGTCTGCTTTTTCTTCTTATCTTTACCATGCCTCAACTTTTTTTTTCTTTTTTCTAGGTTTAGAAGCCGAGCCCACAGAGACTTTGTGAGAGATGCTACGTGGTCCCCGCTCAATCACTCTCTCCTTACCACAGTGGGCTGGGACCATCAGGTCATTCACCATATTGTGCCCACAGAACCCCTCCCAGCCCCTGGACCGGAGAGTGTTGCTGAGTAGATTGTTTTTAAGACAAAAAGCAAGTCCCCCATGAGTATCCACTTCTTTGCCCCCGCCTTCTCAGCTTGTGAGATAACATAGGAGCCTTCTATAGTATGTTGATACACTAGATCTGTACAGTTGCAATAGGCATTGTCTCCCAGCCTGAGGAAGGCTGGATTCTGGGATCCTGTAGTCACAGGGACGAAAAACTTTCTTGAAAATGGATATGTATGTGTGTCTGAGTGTGTGTATAGATCTGTGGTTCTTGGTGGGAGGGGAATAAAAATATCCACCCCACATATTCCCTAAGCACTGCCCCACCCTCTTGCCAAAAAAACCTGATAAAATTGAATTGTTTTTTTATGCTTCCCATGTAGCTGTTTATGAGGAATTGGCCATGTCTGGGTGAGATATGGGATGTGGGTGTCCCTGAATTCTTGGAACCAGCTCTTATACTACTCATAGGGATCGATTTTATTTTTTTCATAGCACTTAAGTCACCATTACCATGGGAAATGCTTCCAATCACAAAAATTCAGCCCACCTCACTTTGAGAAAGAGGCAGGACATGCCACAGTTTTATACAACTCTTTGCCACTAAACTGAATCAGAAATCCATTTTCTGGGTGAATAAGAAGTTTGGCTGGTACCTGTGTAATGCCCACTCCCTTCTGCCCACTCCCTTCCCTCTGCTCCCCAGTGGTATTGTATATATGAGAGAGGAGTGTTTTTCTGTGATAGATGCCATAGGGAAAAGTTTGGGGATGATGGAGAGCTTAAATAAGGCATTTCAGTTAGGTTAAAAATCTGGTACTAACTGTTACAGAGAAATCTTTACTGCTTTTCCTATCTGGAAAAGGCCTGGGACCTGATCTCTTCTGCCTCTGGGCCCTGTTCCTTGGATATAGAAAATCTGAGCGCTATATTTGTAGACTCCTAAGGTTTTTACACCCAGCATCAGGAAGAGAATCAGAAATACCAGTTGGTAAAATAAAGAGTTTAGGCATTGTTGGCCTGTCTTTTTTGAAGTATGTGTGTTATGTGCAGTTAGACATATTTCTCTTAAGTGAATCATCAGGGTGTCAGTAGCCCATTATTTTTTCTGTGCATCTCCAGCTTCCCAAAATAGCTTGTTGGAACTTAGGGTGTAAACATTTATTTACTCCTTGGGTTGGTGGAGTGGCTATTGTCAGTTAGAAGTCATGGATCAATTACTGATTGTATTGAAACTAAACATAATTGGGGCCAGGCATGGTGGTTCTCACCTGTAATCCTAGTAGTTTGGGAGGCCAAGGTGGGAAGATCTCTTGAGGCGAGAAGTTCAAGACCAGCTTTGGCAACGTAGATCATCTCTACAACAAAAAAGAAGAAAGAAGGAAATTAGCCAGTGTGGTGGCGCACACCTGAAGTCCCAGCTACTCAGGAGGCTGAGGCAGATGGATCGCTTGAGCCCACGAGTTGAGGTTGCAGGGAGCTATGATCATGCCATTGCACTCCAGCATATGCAACAGTGAGACACTGTCTCTTTAAAAAAAAAAAAAGAAAAAATATAAGCAATTATGTACTTTTGAGCTTTGCAAGTTTAATTTATGAAACAGACAATTTGAAGGAATATGGGCAAAATATTTCTAAGGAAAACTTCCGTGCTTCATCCTTGCTGTGATTACCCTTGAGTAAAACATGGGAATTTGTAGTTATATGATCTCATGCGGTTGGGGTGGGGTGGGAATAAAGTCTTACATTGTTCGTATAACTTGGGAGGGAATAGGAAGGGTATGTAGAATCACTTAAGTTCTACTTTGCAGAGGTAAAATTTGAATTTTGTGGTCACTTAGAGAAAGGGGATGAGAGGCGTGAACCGAGTAGGTATTACATTTGCATAGCCCTTTTCCTCATCCACTTAAGAATGGTGGAGAAAAGACTTAGTGAAAGAGGT